TATATATATATATATATATATATATAGATATATATATATATGACATGGAGAACCATGCACAACATCGAGACTTCCTGTTAGAGAGAGAGATACTTCCATGCACGCATATATACACGCAAAGCCACACGGATAAATAGATATATATATATATATATAGATATATATATATATATATATATATATATATATATATATATAAGCTAAGGTAAATTCCTAGAATTTAACCATGGAGATCTGATACAAGGTAAATTCCTATCATTGGATATTTAAATTTGTACATATTAGAATTACTCCTAATAAATTAAACCCGCGAAGGAAAATTTCTATTTGAAATAGAATTTTCAATTTCCTAATATAATGTGTATTATCAGTATAAATAAGGCCCTAATACTTGAACAACAATATAATTTGTAATTGTATCCCCCGATTAATAATATATCTCATTAATTAACATGGGGAAGAACAAAGCAGTAGCAGCGAAGCAGCAGCAGGGGACACGAGGAAAGAATAATCAGGCGGCGGTGGGCGGTGACCGTGGCGGCAGCAGCAATTCCGTTAATAATAATAAAGGAGGAGGAGCAGGTGTTTCCACGTATGGAACGAACAAGATGTGTTGGGATATTAGGGCCGAGCAATCGAACCAGATTAATAACACGTACACTCCAGGTGGGCTCGTGGGGTATACTCTTGAAGAGAATAAAAATATTTATTTTCGGACACCAACTGATGATCCCAAAGTTTACCCTTATTCCTTCGCTAATCCGGTTGTCTTTTCTGATTCGGATATTGATCCCAAATCCTTTAATTAGTTAGTTAGTTAATTAATTAGCAGTATTAATATTAGCTTTTTACACTAATTATTTTAATCCTTTTTCTTTACCTGCTTTAATTTGTTTTTGCGTTTATTAATTGGCCCATGTGTCTGTCGTGGGTTTTCTTCTCTAATATATTTATATGATATTTTTTATGGTTTTTAATTTCTTCGATTTATTAATCTCCCTACAATTTTAGTTTATGAACGATGTTTTTTTATTTAATCTTCCTGGCATGTGGGTCTAGTATATAAAAGTATGTGTAAACTACAAATTTTCAAGTCTGCAAAATAAATTATACGAGATAAGAAAAAATTCAAGACAACGTGAACGTAGTCCACGAAGTCAGCAGCCAATATAATTGTCTTCGCTAAATGCCCATAAGATTTGATTATGATTACAAATTCAACATGAATATTGTACATGGTATTTTTATCCTTAAACGAAAAATAGAAAATGAAGTCTCTCTAAAATATTATAAAATCAAATTCTACGTAGGTTATAATTAGGATGGATTATACTTATAAATTTATAATAATACCGCCTTTATCAATGTTAGAACATAGATGTAATATATTACACATAAATTCGTTAATGTTTGATTATGTTCTTGCAAACTTTCTTGAGGTTAGATCAAGTTTTCTTGAGATGTAATATATTTATTTACACATATTGAAAGAAAATAATTTGTATTACAGTCGAAACTCGAAAGCTACCAGTCCAGGGGCGGAACCAGGATTAGAAAGTAGGGGGGGGCGGAATAAAATTTCGGGGTTCGGGGCAGCGCCCCGAAAAAAATTTTAGGTTCACCAGACATTAAAAAAATAGGTTTATACTGCGAATTTTTAATTAAAATGATATATATATATATATATCATTTTATCATATTTCAAGTATGACAAAAAAATCTAAATTATTCTAATAATATATTGCACTTAATGGGATTTATGGCACTTCTCGTATTATTTTTTAGAGACATTGATATAAAAAATTAAAGATCAATAAGTAAATATTCATAAATTTTATTTAAAATAGTACAAGTTTTAACCATTTTATTTTATATTTTTATATTAAATATAATATATATCTATAATTTATATAAAATTGTGGAGAATAAACAAAAAAATTAAGGGTTAAAATGCATATTTACAAAACCTTTGGGGGGGCCAAAAGTAATATTAAAAAAATATTATGCCAAAACAGCAAAAAATTTTTTTTTTTTTTTTTCTTGGGGGGTCAACTGCCCCCCCCC